TCACCGTGTTGACCAGGATGGTCTCGATCTCTTGACCTCGTGATCCACCCGCCTCGGCCTCCCAAAGTGCTGGGATTACAGGCTTGAGCCACCGCGCCCGGCCTGCCAGGCTGGTCTTGAACTCCTGACCTCAGGTGATCCAACCGCCTGGGCCTCCCAAAGTGCTGGGATTACAGCTGTGAGCCACCTCGCCCAGCCAAATGTCTTAATTCTTTTTCTTAAAGAAGTTTAAGATAAAAAGATAAAAATAATTTACCTATTGATAAAGTAAACTTTTAACTCAAAATATAACTTGAAAACAATGTTAATGGTTCTTGCTTTCCTTAAACGTTTTCTCAAGACTATTAATCTTTATAGAAAAATGAAACTATCACCCAGGACTCTTTAGTGGCTATAACATTATTTAGGAGTTCATACTATTAGCTTAACAAACTGCAGTTTAAACCCAGTCTGCTTTTCTCTACTTACTTTTCCTTTTTCTCACAAACTCTGTATAACTGGAAGACTCACAATTCCTGAAATACTGTTTTTCTACCTGTCATTGATCTTACATTGCTTTCTCCTAAAATAACAGCCTTTTCCCTATCTTGAGCTCTCAACATTTTCTTTCAAGACTAATTCTCTTTTGATTAACTCAGCTAGCCATGGTTTCTCCTTTACTCTCCTGTGGCATTGATTTTATACCCCTCTTCTAGCAGTTTTCACTTATTTAATATAAATATGAGTAAATGTCTTCTCTTCACCAGATGGTAGAGGCCTCAAGAGCAGGAGATGTATCCTGCTTTGTACCTCTAGTGCTGTCATATTCTCAGGCTCTCAGTGGTGTTTTTAGATTGAATGAATATGGTTGTTAGGCTTCTGTGTACATTCTTGTCATTAAATTTCAGTAAGTCAGTAAGTACTAAACCAGTTAGCTAATATCCACCCAAACCTTGTTTAACTAAAATGTTGTTACCACAAAAAAGTTTAATCATACCCATACATTTTAATCAGTTGCTAAATTTTATTTTATGAAATATGTTCAAAATTTTTGGCATGCAGCACAAATTTTTTTACAAGTTGGAAGAACATTTTTTGGTATCAAGTTTTTAATTAGAAAATGTTTTTTTTTTTTCTGAATTCTACATTATGCAGTACATAACCAATTTCAGTTGTTTTTTCCCTCTAAATATCAAATTATTTTTGTGTTTGTTCCTCTAGGCTGCTAGTCAGTGCTTCCCAAGATGGAAAATTAATTATTTGGGATAGCTATACAACAAATAAGGTAGAATTTCTTAATAATTCTTTTAAATAACCCTATATTTGTTTTGCTGTTCACCAGTTCTTTTTATTCTTTTACCTCAAACTTTAATTGGTTTCTGAGATAAATTTACTGTTTAATTTAGTTCTTCTGTCTTAGTGTTTACTTTTAATGTTTAACTCTTTTTTATTTCCGAAGATTACTCTTGTGTTTTACTAGAGAGCTTATATTTAATATTTGAATATTAGAAAAGAGTACCATTTTATTAAAAAGTCATTAAACTAATGAATGATTTTTTTTAAAAATCCCCACTTCCAAATATGACAAAGACCCTGAGATTTTTATTTCTAGTTGTGGATAAGTTAGATGGGTAGTATAAAGCTCTTTGGCCCAGTTCAGGCTTTGATTTGTGCTTCTGGACTGCGTAGAATATAGAGTAGATTGGAGGCAAATGACAACTTGTTTAGATCTCTTGGTGGTAAAGACTGTGGATGGTCTTAGTACATCCACTGGAAGCAATCTCCAGTTTTAAACTGTTGAGTAGTAGTGAAAACGCTTCAGGAATACTTTCATAAGTTTAATACCTTTATACTCTGTGTATACATAGTAGTATTTTCATTAAACATTTGAAAATACCATTTTCGTGACATAAACAATAACTTCAACCTGACCGAGATTTTATTTTATTTTATTTTTTTTTTTTATTTTTTTTTTTTTGAGATGCTCTTGAGCTCTGGAGTTTCGCTCTTGTTACCCAGGCTGGAGTGCAATGGCGCGATCTTGGCTCACCGCAACCTCCGCCTCCTGGGTTCAGGCAATTCTCCTTCCTCAGCCTCCTGAGTAGCTGGGATTATAGGCACGCGCCACCATGCCCAGCCAATTTTTTGTAGTTTTTAGTAGAGATGGGGTTTCACCGTGTTGACCAGGATGGTATCGATCTCTTGACCTCGTGATCCACCCGCCTCGGCCTCCCAAAGTGCTGGGATTACAGGCGTGAGCCACCATACCCGGCCCCTGACCGAGATTTTAAAGCTAGCTAAGACAATTCTGTAATGTAATAGTTTTTATTAATCATTAAGCATGTTATCTTTCAACTATATTTTCATTTAAAAAAATGTCTTTTAAGCATATTATTTTAGGTTAAGTGACAGCATAGTAGTAATCCTGCTATGTGTTGATTCCCTATATGGACTGTGTAGCCTTGGTATTCTCATACATCTTACTTTTTTCCATCTGGACCTTCAAATGATTGGTGTTAGGGTAACAAGTGACCAGATCAATGCAAAACTTTCACCATTGTTTGAATGAGATCCCAGAATAACTGCCTATTAATAGAAGGATGCTAATGTCATCTTTTCATGGAAGACCCATGTAATTGACTCTGATACTTGCTAATTATAGCCCTTGTTCTTGCTCAGAGTTACGTTGGAGGAAATTTCTCTTTTGAGCACTATTACAAAAACGAAAATTCTATTAAAACCTTTAACATTTTACACTTAGTTTTTCAAATTAATATTCATATTAAGTATTTGGCAATATATTAACATTGAAACATCTTTATATTCTTTATTTTATCAAGATAATTATTTCCAAAAAGAGCACTTTTTGACTCAAATGATTGGATAATACAAAATAACAGGCATCTTAATGTGCGTTAGTGTTTTATTTTTCATGGTTGACTTTTTCAAGCCATTACATTATTTTATTTGATTTATCTTTCCTAGGTGTATTTAATTTTTAGTAATATTTACTTCATTGTAAATGGGTTTCTGCAATAGATGTCTGTTTTTGTAATCTCAGTGATGTGTGGTGTGTGCTCCACAGATGCATGCTATTCCTTTGAGGTCCTCCTGGGTGATGACCTGCGCTTATGCTCCCTCTGGTAATTATGTTGCCTGTGGAGGCTTGGACAACATCTGCTCTATATATAACTTAAAGACCAGAGAGGGAAATGTGAGAGTGAGCCGAGAGTTGCCAGGCCACACAGGTGAGTTTCCCTAAATATTCTTTCCCACCACACATGATTCCTTGTGTAGAATGTGCTGATCAAGGACAAATGACAAATTGTGCTCGGCTGGCTAAAGGATGAGGATTAATTGGGTGGGAGTAGAAATTATTATGAACAACGGAAACATTAACTTTCTATAATCGTACATGTTTATAATTTTTTCTTTCAAAAATAGCTGTATTGTTTTTGTAAAAATGATGAATTTACTGCACAGAATTCAAACTCATCAAAAATGAGGAAAATAAAATTTGCTGCCATATAAGAATTCCAGGGCTGTGGCATCTGCACTCAATTACATGATTGGAGATATGCATTAAGGTACATTGGTGAAGTCCTTTTAACCATGATAGTGTATTGCTTTGTTTGCCAGTGTGCACATCATAGCTCAAGAGTGTAGCACTGGGTTAGTGGTGTTAATCAGGAATTTATTGCCACTTGTCTGGCTTCTATCCATCTGAATTTTTGACCATACTATTTGACCATGCTTTTACAAAATCTCTAGAACGGTGTTTGCCTGCCATTTCCATATTTTGAAACACGGATGAATGCTAAACATTCAGATGCCACATCTTCCATGAAGTCTTCACTGTTGTTCTTCTGATTTTTTATACTATTTTTATTTTTTAAATATTTTCATTTGAAAAAAAATTTTTTTTTAACTGCTCCTTGCAGAGCAGGGCTAACTATGAGGTGAATTAGCCCTCTCACAGTATTTTAACAGCCAAGGTGCTTAACACAGTTGGCCATAGATTATAGTTCTTCCCAAGGTTATAGTTCTCAATTTGGTAACTTTCAGGGTACCCAGCACATGTCATTAACATGTTAAATCCCTAAGAATGGCTTGTTGATAAAATGTAGTTTATAGACAACATAGGATTTTTTAGTAACTAAAAACAGAACTGTAGATTATATTGAGAAGCACTTGTTGCCCAAGTATTGTTTTTAAAACTATATATTGCTATTTCATATGGTAACTAAGTTATTCAATCAGTGATAACCTAAAATTTGCTACTCTTTATACTGTAGGGTACTTGTCCTGCTGTCGTTTTTTAGATGACAGCCAAATTGTTACAAGTTCAGGAGATACAACTTGGTAAGTTTATTCCAGAAGAACACTGGTTATAGGTTTGAGGGTGGTCGTAGGAAATGACATAATTGTCATTAAGTGTTATTTTGTTTTTAATTACAGTGCTTTATGGGACATTGAAACTGCCCAGCAGACCACCACATTCACTGGGCATTCTGGAGATGTGATGGGTCTTTCCCTGAGTCCTGACATGAGGACCTTTGTTTCTGGTGCTTGCGATGCCTCTTCCAAATTATGGGATATTCGAGATGGAATGTGTAGACAGTCTTTCACAGGACACATCTCAGATATTAATGCTGTCAGTGTAAGTGAATAGTATTTCCAGAGAAAATTTATTATGCATAAAGTGTTGAGCTCTATGGCATGATTTTCACAAAAAATTGCCTTCAAGGATTTTTATAAATAATATGCTCTTATAACTTGGAATGTCCAAGTAATAAGGGTTTGATTTTTTTAAAAAGCTTCAATTCATAGTTGTAGATCTTTTTTGTTATTGTTGGATTTTTTTTTTTTTTTAAGACATTCTTGCTCTGTCGCCCAGGCTGGAGTGCTGTGGAGCAATCATGGCTCACTGCAGCCTCAACCTCCTAGGCTCAAGCGATCCTCCCACCTCAGTCTCCTGAGTAGCTGGGATTACAGGCACCCACCACCATGCACAGCCAACTTTTGTAGAAATGGGGTTTTGCTGTGTTGTCTTGAGCTCCTGAGCTGAAGCAGTCTTCCCACCTCAGCCTCCCAAAGTGTTGGGATTATAGGCATAAGCCACTGTGCCTGGCAGCCTAGGATTATGCTGGTGAATATCGTTTTTTTTTCCCCCAAAAAAGTAGAGGGATAGATTATCATGAGTAAACAAGCAGACTGTGGATGTTCTAACGGTGAATTTAGATGAGAAAAAAGTCTCATATCTCTGGGACCAAGGGAAACAACTCAAAAGAGAGAATAATAAGGAAGAAAAAAGCAGCTGTTGAGTGTAGAGTATAGCTTTTGAAGTCAGTGAAATCTGGGATCTAATCTTAATTCTGCTGCCAGTAGTACCTGTGTGAAACTAGTCATGCTGCTTAATCTTCATGAACCTCAGTACTGTGAAGTACTTACCATGAAAGTTTACAGGGTGTGTTCTTGGCTCACTGCAACCTCCGCCTCCCAGGTTCAAGTGATTCTCCTTTAAGGCATGGAGCAAATCCAATCACTGTTACTTCATTTTGACTGGAAGCAGAAGTATAGCCAAGAAATAATTTTTAAAAAATATCTCAGTTGAGGAAAGACATTGAGTTGAAGGTCCAAGAGTCTTACGAAGTACTTTTTAAAAAGTAATTAAAAGTGGATCCTGGCACCATGGCTCATGCTTGTAATCCAAGCACTTTGGGAGGCTGAGGCAGGCAGATCACTTGACGTCAGGAGTTCGAGACCACCCTGGCCAACATGGTGAAACCCCGTTTCTACTAAAAATGCAAAAAATTAGCCGGACATTGTGGCACGTGCCTGTGATCCCAGCTACTGAGGAGACTGAGGCAGGAGAATCAATTGAACCCAGGAGGTGGAGGTTGCAGTGAGCCAATACCATGCCACTGCACTCCAGCCTGGGCGACAGCAAGACTCCATCTCAAAAAAAAACAAAAAACAGTAATTAAAAGAAAGCAACACATCCTGTTGAATTTAGAGTATCAAAAAATAAGGGAATAAAATCCAAGATGAAAACACAGATTACCTAGATATAAAAGATTTAAAAACCAAGCTAACCTCAGATGTTTTCACAACAGACACTGCTGGAAGGCTCCTGAACAATAATCTGCCCAGTGTTAAGGGGGAAATACTGTGACCCAAGAATTTTTAGTATCAGAAACCAGAGTGATGATGTGGGGGAGAAAATACAGTAAATATAATATGGGATAAGAGATTAAGACCATGAATAATCGATTACTTAAGGCATTACCTGTAAATGATTACTGCTATTAAAAAGATATAGAATAAACTGAACCATAATATTGTTTGCAAGAAACAAACCTAAAACAAAATGACCCAGGAAGGCTAAATGTAACAGTAAAAGAATGGATAAGTCATAAACTGGAAGGAAATCTGTAGCAATATTACTATATTACTATTAAGCAAAGTAGAATTGGAGCAAAAACTTTAAGTGAGAGTTGTGCATTAATAAAAGACAACAGTGATGCTGTAACATTGAAATTCATAAAACAAAAGCAATTAAAAATTCAGGGACCCAAAACACCATTGTGTAGGAGACTTCAGTAGACAACTTGTGAATGTGGATATCCTAATGTGGCAAGAAGTAAGATATTGAGGATTTGAATAGTGTTATTTACTAATGTTGACTTGGTAGATTTGGGTTTTGCTTTTGAAATTCTGAAAAAATCTGAATTCTGAAAAAGAACTGTCCTAAGGGGTGTTTATAAGCCTATCAGGATTGTGGACCTTTTATCTCCTCACCATTCCTTCCATTGTAGCCACACACACACGTATACATTCTATAAATATGAGTACTTGCCTGCAGTGTTTCAGTATGACATGGAAACCAGAGGCAGTATCTGTTGAATACTTGCTGTGTGCTAACAATGGGCTGTGTACTTTGCATGTTATTTAATTCAATCCTAACCAACACTCTGAAATGGAGTCTAAAGCCCAAAGAATTTAAGAAGCTTTAGTGCCCAACATCGCTCACCTGCTAAGTAGCCAAGTTGGAATATGAGTCTAGATTTGTCTGTTATTCACTGCCTCTTATGATTTGCATACATCTGTAGAATAAATGTTTGTTCCTTTCCTGTCTAGTTTTTCCCAAATGGATATGCCTTTGCCACTGGCTCTGATGATGCCACTTGCCGGCTCTTTGACCTTCGTGCAGACCAAGAGTTATTATTGTATTCTCATGACAATATCATCTGCGGAATCACTTCCGTAGCCTTCTCAAAAAGTGGGCGTCTCTTGTTGGCCGGTTACGATGACTTTAATTGTAATGTATGGGACACACTAAAAGGAGATCGTGCAGGTTAGTAAATAAGTCCACATTAGGTTCTGATTTTCAGGAAGCAGAAGAGATTCCCATCAGTTGTGTTCTAGGCCTCCATGGACATCTTGGAGTTGTGGAAAGTGGTAACCCAATGGTTCCCTTTGTTTGTGGTTATAATCCATAAGCCATATTTATATTTTTGCTTTCTGAAGAGTCACATTGAATTCTGTAATGTTTTCTTGTTTGGTAGGTTTTAGAATTAAAGATGGATAGTGAATATGATTCAGTGTGGTATTTTAGAAATCACACTTTGATCACCTGACAGGAAACACTAACTGCTGGTTTTCTTCTTTCTGAAGCAGATCTTGTATGGGACAGGACATAGACCTGTGGTCTTCCCTTAACCCTATACTCTGAGTCCTCCTCTGCAGCTTCCACAAGATGATAATACACATTCAGCCATACTGGGGATCTTCATTAATAACAAGTCACACAGAGTAATTTATAACTATTTTTAAAAATCAAAATTATACTTAAAGGAATCCAATTGTCCTGTTACCAAAACACAGCAGTTGTTTCATTTCTGATGCATAGTTTCTGCTCCCCAAAGTAACTATACATTTAGTCATTTACCTGGTTCCCCCTCTATCCCCCCTTGTTTTGGGACAGAGTCTCTCTATGTTGCTAAGGTTGGTTTCTTCTCACCTCAGCCTCTGGAGTAGCTGAGATTACAGGCTTGAATCACCTTACTTACATATCTCTAAATAACATGCCTGTATTGCTGTTGTTTTAATTTTAGGGATGTTAATTGTTGCTGACCTGTTATCATGGATAAGGGTTGGTTTTAAGCTGCTCCTGCCATGGCCATCTTCTTCCCAACCAATTTTTCCCATATGATAAATTTTGTTTAGAACGACATTCAGTGTTTAAAAAGTTATTTGCTGTTGAGCTGTGAGACGTTGTGACTTCTTTTGCCATGCAGGTTTTTTGTATTTTCTAGAGTGAATTTTTTGGTTTATATTCTTAGTTTGGATATACTTCTCAGTAATGAATCTTCACACTGTCTGCCAGTTTTGACATCTTGGAGTGGATCATTTTCATTCATTGTGGTGGGTTATCCAGTGAGCCTTTTTGATCTGGAAACTCATTACTCTGTAGAACAGGGAAACTGGGGGTGGGGGGTTGTTGACTTTTATTTGTTCTCTGTTATCATCATTCCCTTTTCCTAGATCTCCCATTATGTTGAGTGGACTTCCTGGACTGATCCTTTGACTTTTTAATTATATTCTTCTATTTTCCATCTTTTTCACTTTATCTGTTGGGAGGAAACTTCACCTTGGGTTTCAACCCTTCTGTGAAGTTTTGGTTTTCATTTTTGCTACCATCTTTTTAACTTAAGAGCTATTTTGTTCTTTTTTTTGTGGCACCCATTCTTTTGTTGATAAATGAAGTCTTATGTTTCTCTGAGGTTATAAGTGAATTCGTTTTTTAAGTTTCTTCTTCAAGCATAGTCTTTTGTGTTTCCAAGTTGGTTTTTTCATTCATTTTTGGGGTTCCCTGTCCTTTTTGGAAATTTCCTTAAAATGGTTAGTTTCTTATTCATACTTAAGAGTGAGGCACTAAAACCACTTAAGCTCTGAGCACATGGCTGGTGTGCTAATTCTGGCCCCTGAAAGGTGATCTGCCTGGCCATTCACTGAGAAACTCTGCCATGTCTGCCTTTCTGCCTATTTCCATCTTCCACTTTCCTCCATGAAGTATAAGCTGGCTGCCAGTTGGGGGCTGATTTCAAGAGAAAACCTGAGAGGCCACAACATTTAGCTAGTAAATTCTTTCCTCCCCATTTAAGCACAGTTTTATCAGTCACATCTGTGCCCCTTTTCTTGCAGTCCGGAGACCCTGTTTCACCCTCTCGAGTGACGGAGTCTCTAGTCTTAGGCCACAGTGCAAGATGATTCATCACTGGACTCTGCAGAGTAGAGGAAGGGACACCAGGGGGTCTTACTGATTCATGAACACTTTCCGGTGCAATCTTATTTTACTCTGACTTTGCCCCTACCTGTTCCAGAGATACCTGGTTCCACCTAGTAGGGATGTTTTTGGAGAATCTGCAGTGTAATTTTGTTACTTGGCTTACTAGATCGTTCATTTTGCAGTCAGTATTTTGGGGGTCATTAACATGGTTGCCACCATCTAATTTACAGAGGTTTGTTGCCATTGCCTGCTCTCACTGTCCTTGTGGGTTTACGTCCTTACCCTTTTAACACCCGCCATGCAGTTGTTGGGGTTCCTGAGGCAGCAGAGGCAGTGTTAGCTTTTCCAGGAATAATTTTCTACAACCTCTTTTAAGAGACTACATGGTTCACAGTTTTACACTTTCCAAGTAGATTATTGGAAATATTCTGTTGCTTAAAGCTGATTTTTAAAGGTATTTGGTGTTTTGCCTGGATCTAATCCATTAGTATCCGTAACAAAATAAAAGTGTGCTGCTTGTCTACACTTACATGCTTGAGTTTTAGTTTTGCTTTGCTTACAGTGGGTTTCAAGTTGACTCAACTGAAACTTTCAACTTAAAATTGAATCCTGACTTGCCAATTACAAATTCATTCCCCCTCCAGTGCGATTTATGTAGCCACAGTGTTCATTTTGTTGTTGTTGTTATTTCAACTCCTAATGGTAAATTTTCCCATTTTCAAACATGGTCATACTGGAGACACTATAGAGAGTATTAAGAGTTAGACAAGATGAAATTCCATTCCTGAGATGATTGATGGAAAATGACATGCTTAAGAATAGAGAGATAATGGAAATTCAAATACAGTGTATTTTAAAAATTCTTTTGGGTATTTGATGTATTCTAATTTCTCTTATTAATCTTACTGTATTTCTTGTTTTCCTCCCAAATATTGGGAATACATCAAGTGAATTTAATATGTAAAAGAAATGAAAACTAGATGACTTTCATGATTTCAGAAAGTTATAACCATTAACATTCCAGAGTTCGGTCATTGGCATAAGATTGGTATTCTTGGAAGCAGTGATATAAGGCAGCTTTATTCTTATGTTTTTGTTGTTCCTGTGGGTAAAGGGCTACTTCAGTGAACTTCATTGAAAATCTTGTTTTTGTTAAAAATAACATAGCTTGGTAGCAAAATATGGAATATCATGAACTTACTAGAGATGCGGAATAATTGTCTGCATATGTTTTCCTAGATACAAGTTGAATTATAAAATGATTTTTTTTTGAGACGGAGTTTCGCTCTTGTTACCCAGGCTGGAGTGCAATGGCGCGATCTCGGCTCACCGCAACCTCCACCTCCTGGGCTCAGGCAATTCTCCTGCCTCAACCTCCTGAGTAGCTAGGATTACAGGCACGTGCCACCATGCCCAGCTAATTTTTTGTATTTTTAGTAGAGACGGGGTTTCACCATGTTGACCAGGATGGTCTCGATCTCTTGACCTTGT